CCACATCCAATGTACCCAGACATTGTGCTTCCATGAAGCAGGGATGATATGACCATGGGACCACATCCAGCTGTAGAGATGGAAATGGAGTCTTGTAAGCTTTTATGCCCAAGCTGGTCTAAAACCATGCTCCCTCAATCTCTGCCTCCCACATAGCTAGAACTACAGGCTTGAGCCATGACACCCAACACCATTTACCTTTTTTTTAATGAAAAATGAGGAAATGAAAACTCAGAGAGAGAGGCAATAGTACCAAAGACATACGACACATTAATTCACCCAAACCCACGTTCAAACTCTGGCTCTACTAAAGCCACTTGGGTCCACTTCACCAGCCTGAGCCCCAACAGAATGAGCTCATGATACTTCCCTCCTAAGGTTATTGGGAAGAATAAAAGAAGTCACAGATAGAAACACATCCATGGGATCAGGGCTGGTATCACAGAGCTAGTGACACCAGGCTGTTATATCAAAACCACCCTGAACCCCTTACCTTCTTCTGGAGTTCCTCGATGGTCCGGAAGTAGGACTGGTAGTCAGGACACATGTAGGGTACCTGTTGCTCACACCATTCTCGGATACGGCTCTCCAGGCTGGCGTTCTCCTGCTCCAGCTGGCGTACCTTCTCCAGATAGCTGGCCAGGCGGTCATTCAGAGACTGCATGGTCTCCTTCTCATTACCAGTGAGGATTCCCTCCCCAAACCAGCCTCCTCCCATGCTGTAGTTGCTAGAAAAGCCTCCATTGGGGAGGCAGAGAGCAGGGAGGCAACTAGCCACCCTGTAGCTGCTTCTGCCCGGCCCTGCTGAGCACACGGAGAAACTCCGGGCCCCGCGGGAGAGACTGGGGAGCTTGCAAGAACTACTGGAGTACATTTTGGACACACGAGTGGAACCCCCTGCAGTCCCACCCGGACTCCTGAGGGACCCCGAGGAGAAGCTGGCCTTGAGGCATTTGGAAGCCATGTCCACAGCAGCCCAGATGCAAGCACGCAGTAATCTCAGAGACCAGACACCCCAAGGTGGAAAAGCTGCTCCTCCGCCAGGCTTTATACCTGGGCCCCAGTGGGTGTGGGCTGGCCCTTACAAAGTGTTTTCTCCTCATTAAAGTTAATACCACTTTCTATCAAAGCCCATCATTAACCACTTATTTGTTTTCCCGTGAACAGTTCCCGGCCTCATAAAATAGGAGCCCCATTGGACTGATGGCTTCATGAAGACTCATCCCTATTCCCCTGTGTCCCTGGGAAGACCATGTCTCTGTCAGTTCTTCAAAGCGGCCTGTCATCAGACCTCAGCCTCCTTGTCAAGCAAGCGTGGGAGTCCAGCCACTGTCTTGCCCATTCTAGCTCTGTCTTCTTTGATGGGCTGGCTCCCAAGGAAGGGCAGACATAGCTTGGAGGAAAGCCTGGATCTCCCAGCCCAAGCAGACATAAAAGGTTCTTGGATTGGCCCAGAAGATATGGCCACCATGACCAGAAATCTCACTTTCCCCAGGACTATCCTGGCTTTGCTGGAATATAAGGAATCCTCAATCCTGGACCAAGGAAGACAGACGCTGACCCTTAGTATAGTTGCAGAGCCTATGTGTTGAGGTGGACACTGCTCCACCTGTTGATTGAACCATGGGCCAGGTGCATGGATTTGGGGCTGTCCAGTATACAGCTTCCATGAGTCACTACACCCCTTCCACTCCCCTGAGTCACTACGCATGCCCCTTCCACACCCAGGAACCCTGTGTGGCCCAACATAGTTCTAGAGTCCCATTGGATGCCTCAGCCTCTCCCCTCTGGAAATCTGTGCCAACGGATTCAGCTGAGTCTACCTGAGCCTCCTTGGGGGAAATGGCAGTTGGGGGAGGGGGGAGGAACTCTCCCCATATGGATACAGGGCTCTGCCCAGCCCTACTATAAATAATAGCTTTTCCTGTAGTGTCCAGTACAGTGCTGTAGCAGAATGAGGAATGACAGAATGAATAGTTGTGATGAGCTGTATTAAGGTAACACAAAGGGAGGGTTTTTAGAGGAAAGAAGCCTAGAAAGAGAGAGAAAGGAGAAGGAAAGAAAGGAAAGTGAGTCTGGAGGGGGAGAAGAACTGTCTTCCCAATCCCACTCTTGCAGATAAGGAAGTTTAGGATCTAAGACAGGAAGGGACCTGCCATCTCTCTTCAGGGAGCAATACCTGCCAAGCAAATCAGATCCTCTAGAAGAGAACAAAAGCCAAGGTAGATAGCTACCTTAAGCCAACTTCGTCCTAAAAAAGACTAAGGAGTCTTTGAATTAAAAAAAATATGCAAGTGTTTTTTGTTTGTTGTTTTGTCAGTCATGGGTTTGAACTCAGGGCCTGGGCACTGTCCTTGAGCTCTTTTGCTCAAGGCTAGTGCTCTACCACTTTGAGCCGCAGCACCACTTCCAGTATCCTAGTGATTAATTGGAGATAAGAGTTTCATGGACTTTCCTGCCCAGGCTGGCTTCAAACCAAAATCCTCAGGCCTTAGCCTTCTGAGTAGCTAGGATTACAGGCTTGAGCCACCAGTGCCCAGCTCATACAAGTGGTTTTTATCAGCTACAAAGTATCCTATCTAGTTCTATCATATTCTAGTCTATTGCCATTCTTTTTTAGCTATTAAAAAAAAAACCCTAGGGGCTGGGAAGGTGCCTCAGTGGTAGAGCACTTGCCTTGCATGCATGAGACCCTGGGTTTGATTCCTCAGCACCACATAAGCAAAAAGAAAAAAGCCAGAAGTGGCGCTGTGGCTCAAGTGATAGAGCACTAGCCTTGAGCTGAAGAGCTGAGGGACAGACCCAGGCCCAGAGTTTAGGCCCCACAACCAGACCCAAAAAAAAACTAAAGAAATAATTACCTAGAAACCATTATAGGCAAGAAGACTGTTCAGGAAGGTTGTTGTATTTTTTTAATAACTTTCCTTCCAGGATCTTTGTCCTCTGCTCAGACGGGGCCTACACTGTCTCTATAACACACCAAACACACTCAACTCTGCCCTCACATACCCTTTGCCCTCCTTCTTTTTCTGCAGACTTTCATTAAATCCAAACCTGCCCCAGAGCCTTACCTGGTCAACTCAACTCTCCACAAACTTCTCCTCCTTCTCCTCACCAGCTGCACCACCTCCTACTATCCAAGGAATTGATCCTAGGATGTGGTGAGCAGGTCTTCACATCTGGACTGGTGTTCCATGGCAACTCTGCTGCTCGTCTACTATTAGTCCAGCTGCTTCCAGGACCCCCTTGCTTCTCCCTAGCTTAGCTTCATATTGATTGGCACTGGATTTGCTAGAGGGGAGAGGGAGGTTCCAGTATACTGCCTCCTCACTGATCCACTGAACCCTGAACACATTCACATGAGGAAAATGGCCACATTTATATAAAAAGTGCAGAAGAGATCAACTGCTTTAGAATCCAAGAGCATGTTTCCTCTGGGGGAAATTCTATAAGCTATCGAGTTTCACATCATCTCTTTCTTGGTATAATGGGAAGAACAATGGAATGAGAATCCAAAAGCCCCACCAATCAGGGTGCCAATGGCTCACCTCTGTAATCTTAGCTACTCAGAGGCTGAGATCTGAGGATCATGATTTAAAGCCAGCGCAGGCAGGAAAGTCTATGACACTCTTAAGTCCAATTAAACACACACACACACACACACACACACACACACACACACACTGCCAAAGCATTCTAGAATTGCCTCTAACTGTATGACTTTGGGTAAATCATCAGCTATTGCACAAGTGTCACGTTCTGCTCTGTCTATACATTGACCAATGGCCCCAGATAGAACTCAATTGAGGGGCTGGGTGAGACTGAGTGTAAAGGACGTCCTCTGAACAATTTAATGTCTAAGCAAGTAGGCCTTGCATGCCCACAACCACACAGGACTGTCATGGGTGATATACACATGTCCTCTGCAAGCTGTCAAGTAATTATAGAATGGAAAGCACTAAGCTGGATGTGGTGATGTCTGCCTGTAATCCTGGCACCTGGGAAGCTGACACAGAAAGATCACAAGGTTGGGGCCAGACTAGACTGCATAGGTAGACTCTGTCTCAAAACAAAGGAAGTCCCAGATGGTGGGAGAAAGCACCAGCAGCATGATTACACATCAGGTAAACCCTGCCATGTGGTCTGTCTGCCCAGATGTGGTACCAGGAAGTGTGAGGTCTTTCCCAAACAGAACGCTCAACAGCTAAGTAATGACCAAATCTCTGCCACTTACCACTGTGCTGCCTGAGGTGAGACATTGCCCTCTCTGGACCTGTGTTCTCAATAGGTTAAGGGACACAGGAACCAATGTGGGGCCATGGTAATTCTCACAGGTCATGCTTCTCTCATGAGCAGGGTATCCAGGGCCTGGCCTGGTTAGGTCCCACAGCCAAACCTATATGGTTCAGCATTAGAATCTGGCCCATGTGATGTCTGCCCCATGTCAAGGTCTGGTTGTCTCCTTTCAATGCTCTGTTTGAGCCTCTCTCCACCATGAGGTCCCTGACAGCCTTTCATTCCCCACATTGGGTTGGAAAAGCATGAACTGGCCTGCCTTTCCCCTCCCAGCTTGTTCCAACCCCAACTCTTAACATGACTGCCTCAGGCTGGCTGCCTGAATGGTCCCCAGTGTCTTGGAAGCAGGGGAACAAGAGCTAGGCAAGGGAGGAGATGATGGAAAGAAGAGCAAGATCACCACCAGATCGAGGAGGCCTGGAGAGAAAGACCTTTGCCTCTTCTCAGGCCACCCTTGAGTGGGTGTCCATAGACAGAGCACAGCTGGGAACTGTGGTCAACTCCCACCCAGATGGGTTCAGCACCTGCTCCGTCTGACCACACCCAGAGACTTCCCTGGTATTAAATATTTTTAGATGACCAGCACTTGCTACCCCCCCAGAGCTAGAAAAGAGCCTTGAAGCCAGACCTAGAAACTTTACTGCCTCTCCTGCCCAATCACTTCACTAACCATGGGAGAATCAACAGAAACCAGCCAAGGTCGGGTTTGCTATGCCAAGAGGACACACTTTATTGGGTACATTTCCAGGGGAACCTGGTTTGGCATGAAAAGCACAGTCAAGATCAGAAGCAAAATACAACAAGAGTGTTGATAGAAAAACCTGCTAAGCAGAGGAACCCTCTAGAGAAGTGTAGAATCATCTAGGAGCCAGGAGCCTCAGGGATGTCCTCTTTCCCCTGACCGCAGGCTCTGGCTGGAGAGCCGGTGGCTGGTCACAGAGGACGGGACTGCACATGCTCCCTGGAGGAAATGACCTTCCCATCTCTGATCTCTTCAGTGATGGTGCGGATCTGGGTGCTGACTTGAGGGGCCGGGGTACAGGACCCAGTCGGGGCACAGGGTGTAGAAGAGACATAGGGGACTCTCACTGCAGGCTTGCATTCTGTGGCACAAGGGTGGGCAGGAAGCCTGAGGAAGTTAAACCATGCATTAGGATACAGTTGGCCAGGGGGCAGTGACCTGAAATCCAGTATGGAACAGATAAGAGGGGATGGAGGAATCAATAGGGGATGACAACCAATGGCCTTGGACCAAGGAAAATCCCTGGGGATGTTCATGGAAAATCCCTCCCTCCATGGAAATCCTTGAGGGTAAAAAGGTTGATAGAGGCTGCTGGAGAGGATAATAGAATTTCCCAGTAATTTAAAGGTTGAAGGTATAGTTCTGGATTCAATCCCCACCTCCACAAAAACTAAAAGCAAATAACCAAAAACAAAATTTTAAAAAACGTTCAAGAGGCAGGTGCTTGGCACATCCCCCTGAGACTCCAGGAGGATTCTGTTCTCAGCTTTGGCTCCATTACCTTCATCTATATGACAACCACGTCAGAGACTGATGTCCTCCGTGTCACATGGGGGAGGGGCAGGGGTGATTGAAGCCCTTCCCCCAGCCCAATTCTCAGGGCCCAGGGCCCACAGCCCATGGCACACTCACTTGCAATCTTCGCCCTCCAGCAGACGGCGGTAGGTGGCAATCTCCGATTCCAGCCTGGCCTTGACATCCAGCAACACCTGGTACTCATGATTCTGCCTCTCCAGGTCACAGCGGATCTCAGCCAGCTGGGACTCCACATTGGTGATCAGACACTGCATCTGGGCCAGCTGGGAGCCATAGCGGGCCTCTGTCTCAGCCAGAGTGGATTCTAGAGAATTCCGCTGTGGTGGGAAAGAGAAAGTTGCCAAGAGGAAGGAATCCCACCCACTCTTGTACCTAGAAACCTGGGTAGCTCCATGTGGCTGGGATGAGGTCCCACAATAGCCCATAGGCTGAGGCCGGTGCATCAGAGGGCCTGTCCTGAGCCGTGACCACTCATTCAGTCACAGGTCACTCACCATGCTCTGCTGGGCCTGTAGCTCAATCTCCAGGGCGTTGACCGTGCGTCTCAGCTCGATAATCTCTGTCTGGCAGCATTGCAGCTGCTCAGAGCTGGATACCACCTGCTGGTTCAGCTCTTCCGTCTGCAGTGCATGAAAAGATGCAGAGCATATGTTAAGACCAAGGAAAGCTCCTTGAAAGGGTCAGCCCACCCCAGGTGCTTGGAGTCCAGGGCTGCCCGACCTGGGTGTTGAACCACGCTTCGACATCTCTGCGGTTGTTCTCCACCAAGGTCTCATACTGACATCTCATATCATCCAGTATCTTGTTGAGATCCACGGGTGGGGCAGCATCCACCTCCACGTTCAGTCGGTCCCCAAGTTGGCAGCGGAGTGTATTGACTTCCTACAGTGAGGAAGATGGTAGAAGGCTTGAGGGGTCAACTAACCTGAGTTCAAACTCTCTTCCCATTGCCAGCTGTGTACCATTAGATGGAATAGTTAACTTTTCTCCCTTCAGTGGGCATGTACCTACCTTCTCCTGGGGACTTAGGAGATTTAAGTGGGATGCTATCAGCCCTTTGAACTCTTATTGGGCATGATAGCCCACATGGAGTTTGAGAATCCCAGGCAAGAATGTGAACTCTGTGTGAGTGTGATCCCAGGCAAATGACTTAAGCTGTGTGCCTCCATCTTCTAAGTCTATGAGCTAGAGCTTGGAATGGTTTCTAACTCAGGATTCGTGGGAGGATAAAAAATGAAATGCAAGGGTTTGATCTACTTTCTGGCAAACAACAAGCCCAAAAAGCCAGCAAGGGCATGTCAGCCAGGTGGGAACCATGGGGGTGGTAGGGGTGGATGGGGAATGGTCAGGAGGCATCGGCTTCACCTCCTCGTGGTTCTTCTTGAGGCAGAGCAGCTCCTCCTTCAGGGACTCCACCTGCGCCTCTAAGTCAGCCTTGCACAGGGTCAGCTCATCCAGGATTCTGCGTAGGCCGTTGATGTCAGCCTCTACCAGCTGCCGCAGGGACAGCTCCGTCTCATACCTGTAGGCATAAAATCCTACCAAGTCTGCAGCAAGGGGAAGACAGGCTTGGGCAAAGAGGATCCTGGGCTTCAATGTCTGCCTGAAGGGTCAAAATCACGGTGGCCCTTTCCCTAGTCCCAGGAGGAATCCAGGGACTGTGCAACTTTTCCCTATTTACAGGTCCATCTGGCTTTATTCCCACTGAACCAGCTCCAAAAAGTTAGGGAGCTGAGACTAAACAGAAACCCAGCAAACCAACCCCTGCCTTCCCCAGTCAGCCAACTTACTTGGTCCGGAAATCATCAGCAGCCAGCTTGGCATTATCAATCTGCAGGACCAGCCTGGCATTCTCAGATTTGGTCAGAAGGATCTGTGGAATGAGACACTTCCCATGAGCTGACCAGCAATATAAGGGTAGCAGGAAGGGACATACTTTAAGAACAGGCAGCATCTCGTGTTCCCGCCCAGAACCAGGACCGTGGGTGTAAGAGAAAGCATGAGCCCCAGACGGGACATCACAGGATTTGAGTTCTACATCCAACACTCAGGCTAAGTGATTTGGGGCAAGTTTCTGAACCTCTGCCTGCAATCTTCGCTTCCCAGGAGGCTTGAGATCTGAGGATCAAGGTTTCCAAGCCAGCGCAGGCATTTGGATTTGGCTAATCCAAGAGACTCTTATTTCCAATGAACCAGCATAAAGGTGGAAGTGAAGGTATGTCTCAAGAGGCAAAACATCAGCCTTTAGCACAAAGACCTAAGCATGAGTAAAAGACACTGAGTTCAGAGTGCAACACACACACACACACACACACACACACACACATTTTCTAACAATTCAACCTCTGTATCTATTAGATGAGTCCAATAATACCCCTCTCCCCAAGTTGAGCCAGTGTAAAGCATGGTGCTGTAACTAAATGGAAGTCAGTAAATGGTCCTTTCCTCCCTGAGCTAAGACAGTGAGGGGAAATGAGGAATGGCTGGCAAGTTGGCACTGGTGAAGAGAAACCTGGGTCCTCAAGAAAACCAAAAGCAAAAGTTTGCCCTTCCATTCCTATAAACGAGCGTGCTCATCTGGGAAGGTTTGGGGAGGCTGCCTCCTCCTGTGGGAATGTAGCTTCTCCATTGAACAGCCGCCAGGTCACTGCTACCTTCTGCTGGAAGTCCTCGATGGTCTTGAAGTAGGACTGGTAGTCGGGGCAGATGTACGGGATCTGACACTCGTACCACTCCCGGATGCGGCTCTCCAGCGCCGCATTGTCCTGCTCCAGCTGCCGCACCTTCTCCAGGTAATTGGCCAGTCGGTCGTTCAGGAACTGCATGGTCTCCTTCTCATTGCCATTGAAGGCACCCTCACAGAGCCAGTTCCCACTCCCCACAAAGCCAGAGGAATGGCATCCAGAGGGCAGGTAGGAGCCAGAAAAGCAGCTCCCAAGACCAGACAGGCTCGTCCTGAAGGAAGAGACGGACCCTGCAGGACCACAGGGCCTACAGGAGCCCACGGAGCGGATGGAAGACACCCGAGAAAAACCGCCTGCTGTGCCACAGAGGCCCTTGACAGAGCCAGAGGACAAGGTCGGGGTGCAAATCTGGGTGTTCATGATGCTAGCGAGGAAGGCGGCAGCCTAGCAAGGAGCTCAGGTTCTGACTTCTCCAGGCCTCTCTCCACACTTATATACACTCTCTGCAGGGTGTTGTCATGTTACACATCTTTGACTCCTGGGAAAGCCTGTTTCCTATCCCAGAAAACTAATCTCATCAGGATGTAAAATTTTTTTTGCTATCCATCCAGAATTCCTTTCCTTGTTTAAAAAAAAAAAATTGACTTTGGTTTGCTAAGTCAGGACTCTCTGCTGTTGTCACTTCCTAGCAGACTGAATTTTATTGCCACTTCAAAGAGTCTTTGCCCCAGATCCCATAAGCCGGGAGTGGCCTCACACAGGGCACTAGGTTCCTGCCCTTCTTCCCTCCCTCTTTCTCTGCCTTCTCCTGTCACCTCTACTCCCTTCCCCCACCTTCACAGCAGCTCCTCTCTGCCTGAGCCACTGGGCAGGACAAAAACAGATCAAAGCAAACTACAACTCATGGTTCTACCTATGTTAGTCCCATAGTTCGAAATTCTGGGAAGGGGCTGATAGTGTCTGCCTTTTACTAATGGTTCTACCTATGTTAGTCCCATAGTTCGAAATTCTGGGAAGGGCTGGCTGATAGTGTCTGCCTTTTACTAATGTGGAAACTGAGGCTTGCCATGGATAAAAACCTGGCAGAATTTGATGGGGAAACACAAATCATTTAAATAGGGATACAGGTGGACCCATTGCAACAATGAGATGTACAAGTCGTTAGGTCGAAAAACGAACTTTACAACTTTGGTGCGGGGGCGGGGGGAGGATTGGATGGTGGGGGAGGATGGGAAGGGATGGGAAGGGGAAACAAAGGAGGAGGCTACAATGCTTGATAAGAAATGTACTCATTACCTTGCCCATGTCATTGTAACCCCTCTGTACAGCATTTTCACAATAAAAAAAAGAAACCTGGCAGAATTTGGATCCAAAAGGAGAACTGTCAAACACCAATGTACTGCCCCTCCCCCCAGCCCACTTCTCCACACAACTGCGATCAAGTCTAGGTAGACAGAATGTAGAAATAGGAGAGCTGGGTTCCCATCCTAACTCTGTTGATGATATTGAGTGCATCCCTTCTCTGGGATTCTCCATGTCTTCATGGGAATGAACAGCAAAGCTCATCTTTCAGTCTTGCCTGAACTAAGGAGGGTCAGACAAGACAGAAGTAAATGTTTTAAAAACCATTCAGGGGGGCTATAGATGAGTTGGTTAGGCTAAAAAAAGCAGTTTCTGGTGCTAGTTTATGATGGAGCCAGCAAAGAGTCACAGGTGTAAGCCCTCCAATGGGATTGCTGAGTCTCTCTGCCTTCTAGGTATAGCATGATGGTGGTGAGGAAGAGGGTAGTGTGGAAGCAAGCCTTAGTCCATGAATGCATCACTGTACAGTCTCCTGCTGTTATAGAATCTACTGTCTGACCAATGGAAGGAGCCAGAAGGCAGTTCCTTTTGTGCTGTCAGCATTTTGAGTCTAGTCTACTCAGACCTGACTAGGTCACAGAGATGTTCAACAGCAAAGAAGGAATCAAAAACTAAATAAGTAGCAAATAGAGTTAAATAGTTAAGCAAGCCGAGAAGGACCAAGAAACTCCATCTTGCAGGGTGCAGGTGGCTCACACCTGTAATCCTAGATACTCAGGAGGCTGACATCTGAGGATTCTGGTTCAAAGCCATTCCAACAGAATCTGGGGGACTCTTATCTCTAGTTAACCAGCAAAAAGTCAGAAGTGGAAGTGTGGCTCAAGCAAAGTAAGAGTGCGAGGCTCTAAGTTCAATCCCCAGTACCAGCATGAAAGGAAAGGAGGAGCAAGAGAGGGGAGAGGGGTATAGAGAGACAGGGAGGGAGGGATGAAGGGAAGGAAGGAAAGAAGGAAGGAAGGGAGGAAATAAGGAAGGAAGGGAGGAAAGAAGGAAGGGAGGGAGGGAGAGAGGAAGGACAGGTGGGAGGGAGGGAGGGAAGGAAAGAGAAAGATAAGGGAAGGAGAAGACAAAAGAAGGGAGGGGAAAGGAGGAGGGGGAAGGAAAGGGAAGGAAAAGAAAGGGTGGAGGAGAGGAAAGAGGAAGAAAGGAGAGAAAAGAAGAGAAGAGAAGGAAAAACCCATCCTTCTATCTTGAAATGTGGACTTTCCCAAGAACTAGGGAACCTGTTCGCTTTTTCTCTTACACTTGGTTTGCAAAGCTGGCGTTTATGGAAGCATTTATGTGCTTCTGAAGTTGTAATTCCCAACCTCTTAAAACGCTTTATAAGCTTCCCTCTGAAATTACCCAAGGAGGAGGATTGCCTTTGGTGGACACGCCTGGCCAACTGGATGAGGTGGTTGAGAACAGCTGGTGACAGGCTCCTGGAGGCTGCTTCATGCTGCTCCTCCCAGAAAATAGGAGCCGAGAAACAGCACCCAGACCCCTATCTGCTTCAACAATGGCTTCCTCACAGCTGCCATCTCCCAGCGCTCCTCGGGGGAGTAGGACTATCCCCTGGCAGAGTTTCTCAGCCCAGCACTGCTCCTAAGTCAGCTCTGTTCCCATTGTGGGCTGGGCGGTCCCATGTTGTTTGGGGCTGTTCACTGCATTGTAAAAAATGTTGACCTTATTACTGGCTTTTATCACCTGATGCCAATGGCAACTCCTTGCTCCTAAAGTGGCTACAAACATTGTCAGTATCCACTGGGGAGTAGAGAACCATGAGGCTAATCAGAACAGAGCCTGAGCTCCAAACGCACTTTCTGTCAGCCCTGGTTTTGTAAACAACTAGCAGTCTTTGAGGTACACCCAGGAAAATCCTTAATACCCTGCTCCAATTTGCCTCCAGGGTGACAGAATGCTTGACCAGTGGATGGTCCGTGCTAAGCCCTTGTCTGGGGTCCCTAGATGGTGGACAGGCGAACGTAATGTTTTCCTTTCCATCTTTTTCGATCCCTGTATTGTGAAATCTCGGTTTCTGTATAAACAGGGGACACAAGCTGCTCTGTGGTCCTTGTCACCCACACCGGTGCTTCAGGAGGGCCACAGTAGACCCCAGAGATGTCTCCAGGGCTATGGAGAGAGCATCCTTCCTCTCCGGGAGCAGGTGACAAGCTAGACGAAGGAGATGGCTTTGGGGCTACCTTCCCTCCTCTGTCTTATGTGTACTGTAGGATGCAAGGCCACCTCTCTAAAGGAAGTATGGAAGGGAGTCATGGGAAGGCTAGTGGCTGGGCTGCTGCCCAGAGATGCAGTAGGTTGAGCAGGATTCTACTCTAGATGCTCCCAAAAGCACACAGCTGAGCTGCAGGTAGAGGTGCCAGTTAGATGCTAGTGCTCTAGTGCACCGATGTTCTAGTGCTCAGAAGATGGTCTCTGTCCTCCATCACCCAACTTCAGAGAAGAACAGAAGTGGTATGCCTAGAAAAGACACTGACTTTTCCCAATCCCATTTTGTAAGGCTATCAAGTTCAAGATCACCTGCTAACTCTATGGTTACTTCTTTCTTCACCTCCCAGAAAGCTTCTACCTGGAAGCCATGGGTCTGCATGAACCAAGATCCAAAATAGCAAGCCTCAGTCCCCTTGTAACCAGCTCTGTGCAGTCTCTCCCATACTGAATACACCACGTAGCCTGTTACAATGTCTCCAAGGAAGGAACGCAATCTCTAAGCAAGGTATCTGCTTTCTCTGCTCCTCTGGGCTTTGGTCAGAGTGTTCCATTTACTATCTCCAAGAAATCCCAAAGACAGCAAAGAAAGAAAACTGGGCAAGAGCCCAAAGGGGCAGCTAGGCCTCCAGCCAATGGGCACAAGATTACTCAAGAGGACCAGTGTCGGTTTTCCTTAGAGAAACCTGCTGGGTCAGCCTTCATCCTCCTCCTAGTGCCTGGCCCAGCCTGAAGTCACATACAGCTCCAGAGAATTCCCCACCATTCAAGACACCTAATCCCATCCATGACCTCTGCAGATCCTACCAAGGCCCCACCCAGAAAAATGGGGAAGGGGGACACAATTGATCATCATGTCCCCCACTCAACTTTTTTTTTTCAGTTTTGTGACAAAAACAAACTTGACTTTTTCAATACACAAGAATTGACTTAATCCACAAAGCACCTGGGATCCGCTGCTGTCTATTCTGTGTCAAAAACCACGTCCACAGCACCCACCAAAGCTGCTGACAGTTCATGTCTGGCTCAAGTACAGACATGTAGGAACAACTACGTGAAGTGAAAGAAAGTATTCTAGCAAGGCCAAAAAAATTTTTTTAAAGACTTACAAATTCAGACATTTCTAACTAACATGTTTAATTTTCTTTTTTCTAAAGGATCCAAGAATGACCATGTTCCATTCCAACGGTGAAAGATTCAGGGTCTTTCACAGACCTAGGAAGAACCAAGCTGCCAGACTCAACAGATAAAAATACACCTAATATTTTGGACCCATTTATACTAAAATGTTATTGTCTACCTGCAATGCCAGTTTCGGTGGCCACTCGGTGTCTCTGTGACAACTCTTTATGAGGAAGCCTTGGCCAAGTAAGAGGCAGATGCCTCCCTCCTGTCTCGTAGCCTGTCACCATGATCTGCTCAGGAAATGTACCTCAGGCTTCCCTTTGGGGAAAAAAATGTGCCTTTTGGTTCCTATATAGCCTGGTCTCAGCAGCTGCCATGTTTACCTTCCTAAGCCCAGGGGCTTAATTGTCCTCCCTCTGGTCCTGGCCATTTGGGGGACTGACTTCCACCCTCATTCCTGCTGCCCTCAGCACAATGACTCAGACCTTCCTAAGCAGGAGTTGCAAGTCTCTCTCTGTGTTCCATTTCCTGGTCTCCCAGGGGCCCCAAATCTTCATCTGCATCCACCGTCACCAGGCCTCACCAAGAAAGCCATTCCCCCGACTCCATGGCTGCCTCTCCATAAAGGTCTTCAAAAGAGTTCTGGAAAGCTGGGTGCCAGCAGCTCGCACCTGGTACCAATAAGCTATTCAAGAGGCTGAGATCTGAGAACTGCTATTCGAAAGCACCCCGAACA